CGGTTCGAGGCTGCGGGCGACGCGCTGCCGCACAGAACAGAGGGCGCGCCCTCAGTGCCCCAAACGACGGCGGCCGGCAGCAGCGGGGCCGAACGAGGCGCCCAAGGGGGTGGCGGTGACGGTGGCGGTGTCGACGGCGTCGGTGGCGGAGCGGACGAGGGTGTCCGTTTGCAGGAGGAGCTGCATCAGCATCTTTCTGATCTGTGGGCCGCGGTGCGCGACCTGCAGCGCGGCGTGAGGGAGGGGCAGGCGTGCGTGCAGCGGCAGTACGACAAACGGCTGGAGCAGGTGGGCACGAGGCCAAGAGGGAGGGGGCACGAAACAGCCAGCTTGTTGGGGCCATGTCACCGCTGTCTATGCATGCAGTGCCTGCACCGGAGCCCCCTTCGCGCTGGCATGCTGGTTGCACATGCCTGCGGCTGGGTCCCCGTTTGCAGCCATTAGCAGACTCACATGCGGGCTCGCCACCCCAGAAGTGACCCCGTCACTCATGCGTCACCAGGTGGACGCGCGGTACCGCGTGTACGGCGAGATTGTGTGGTACGACATATGGGAGGAGGTGGCCGGGCCGTGGCTGTCCGACGCGGAGCGGCAGACGGAGGGGCAGGCTGCTGAGCTGGCAGCCGTTGAGGCGCAGGCGCGGGAGCTGACGGCCAAAGCCGATGAGATGATGGTGGCTGTCTGACTGCCTGGATCTTGATTGTCTTACACTATGTGTGCGTGTGACTGTGTGTGTATCTGTGGATGAGTGGAACTTGTCAGCTGGGCCACCCTCGGCCGTCCCTGACGTACACCTGGCAGCGGGCCCCTGTGGGCCGGCGACCTGCGCTTGATTTAGCCGCGGAACGCGCGCAATTCTGTCCACCGTTTTGTCAATCAGTTTGCGGGCGCCATGCTTGGGTGTGTGCTGGCGGGCGCCTCAAAACCCTATCACCTGCCAGCCGCTTGGGCGGTCAGCCGCTGCGGTGGCGTTTGTCGCAGTCGCCTTGGAGCTGTGTCTCTCTGACGCGCGAGCCGCGCATGGCGTGGTGGCGCTGGCGCGCGTCAACCCCTGAATGTGTCTTTACCCCTTCCACAAACCTGCAGCCTGTTTCCTGGGCAGACCCGCTGCCGTTGCTTCACCCCCTCCCCACCAAGCAAAGCTGGTTTAGCGAAACTCATTGCTGCCTGACTGACACAATGCATGACGCCAGATGCCCCGCAGCTAGATGACAAGAAGAAGAGCGAGCGTGTGTAATTAGGAGCGTGAATCCTCCTTGCATGCTGGCCGCATTGTGGGCTGGTGCAGTTGGATTACGCACACCAAGACACGACTGGGGCAGGCCCGCGGCACGAGCTTCAAGCCCGGCTGCTAGACGCTGCATGCGCTGCGCAGTGCTGCGCCTCTCTTGAAACGCGCCGCTCAGCAACCAAACAAGCAACAGCGCAGAAAGGGTCGGGTCGATGTGAACAGGTGTGTCAATTGGTTGATTCACCGTATGCGGCGCGCAGCCACAGCCAGGCGCAGGGATGCCTGCTGAAACAAGGGGAAACAGCTGCTGGCGTTCCCTTGCAGTCGGGGCCGCTGCTTTGCGCGGGACCCTCCGCGTGGTGTCTGCGGGAGAGCAGTCAACGGAGTGGTGAGGTTCAGATGTGTTTGTGTGTGTAAACATATGCGTGCGCATGTGTGTACACATGTGTGTATGTGGTGTGCGTGTGTGTGTGGGCACGCGCTTCGCGTGAGTGTCGGCATGGGCAGTATGCAATTAAGATGGCGGTGGTGCAACGCATGAGGCGTTGGGCATCAGGGCAGCCGCGCAGGTCCATGAGACCAGCGTGCCAGCCAGAGGCGCACCAGCAAAATTTCCAGCTGAGCGCACGAGTTGCGCAGGGTGGGGCAGGGCCAGTGGAGAGTCGGTCAGTCATCGCATGTTTGGTGGTCGCATTGTTGGTGGTGTCGATGCAGAGTGGCAGGCTCTTGCTGTACTGCAGCCACCTTGTTCAGCACTACAGCGGCTTGCAGTGGCGTTGGGTGCATAGGCAGGCAGGGCGGGCGGGACACCGCGCAGCCGTTAAGCCGCGAGACCCACCGGTTGCCGCATACGGTGCACGTGCTGCGCAGTACAAGCAGTTGACGGGGGCAGTTGTAGGGGACGGATAGAGGCAGTGGGGATGTCGATCCGAGGGGTGGGCTGCTTGCGGCCGATGCAGGTGGGTGACCGACCTCACACGAAATTGCTGCATCCAGTTGGGAAAAGCTGTGCATCCCCACACTCGCCGAGGGATTCGACACGTGCACGAGGTCACACAACCCCCCTTTCTCACCAAAAGTTCGTCATGGGCTCGTCCGCCGACCGCGTTTGTAGTTGCTGCGTGGGGGCGAGCACGGGCAGTCGAAGCGCGTCAGGTCAATCAAGGGCAGCAATGCCGGCCGCAAATGGCTTCGGCACGTGCCTCCAGCCGCCGGCTGCACGGCAAGCGGCGCTGGACGCCAGAGCCTCGCACGGGAGCGCAAAGCCAGGCCTCGCCATGAACAGGAGGGCGGCGGCCGCCATGTTGTGCGGCACCAACCGAGCGGGCCCCCGTGCAGCACCATGTGTCAACTCACGTAATAGGTGACCTTCCGCTGCTTGCACTTGCCACACCTGGGGTTGGCGTTTAAAGCGTATTTGGGTGCGGTGCGGCAGCAGGTGTGGGGTTGGGGGCAAAAAGCTCCCCCCAAGCCAGGCCGCAGCGCAGCAGAGGGCCCCCTTACGAAGGGCAGAGCTGGGCTGAACGCGTCGCGGCCCTTGGCCCGCACCCGCAGGCCGCGGGCCAGGCTGGCTCCAAGCCGCAAACCCGCAGTCGCTGGCCACCGCATGCCCAAGCAGGCATGCAGGCGCGAGTCACGCAAGCAAAGCCCAGGTGGCGCCATCGGCCGGCGCACGGCCCGCGGGCGCCCCTCCCTCCCCTCTGCCCCTGCGGGTGTGCGCTGTACGCGCGCTCTCACTGGAACTGGTCCGTCGTCGCCATCTGGCTCTGCCCCCGGACCAGCTCTGCCGCCATCTCCTTGCGGATCTGCGCGTTCGCCACCTTGCGGGCGTCGCTGGCCATCTCCTCCGCGCCCATGTGGGCGAGCGCCTCCGGCGGCACGTGGCCGGCGGCGACGCGGCCGCGGAGGTCTGGGTTGTTGGGGTCCTTCAGGTTGAACACCACGGTGCGCACCTTTGTAGGGGGGCGGGT